GTTGCAGATTGTTGCAGATTGTTGCAGATTGAGACAACGCAAATCAGAAGAAGATGCCGAAGAAGTCAAACAAGTCGTGGGGCGGTCGCAATAACCGAGGAAATGAGGATAAGGGTTACTTTGGTAAGTATTGTCTCCAGCTTTAATAACCCGTTACGTATGATTGGTGTGAGTTCCATTTTACACACGATGCGCATGATTTATCGTCTATCCTTGTATACTGAATATTGAATAAGGATAAAGTGAATATCATGCGCAAAATGTAATACATTCTTGAATATGCACTTGATTTTCGCGTTTGTAATAATGTTTTCTCAGATTTTATCCGCGTCGTATACATTCTTCAACATTCCTACCATAGCTCCTATTCACTCTATCGTCTCTAACAAGCGCATCCTCAATTTGAGTGAATAGGAATTATGATTGAAAATAGGAAGAACATATTGGAGCGTGCATATCTTCCGTGTTTGTTTCGACATTTATACCATGCAATAATTTCTCTTGCATTTAATCTTCTTATTTAACATTCGTTTGCTCGCATCTTTTTTCATTTACGAGGCCATTAACGTTGAACGCGGAAAAACAAAATGGACACTATACAGAGGCTGTAGCTGGGTAATTTTTTTTGGCGTCGTCACGTGATTTGTACGCTCGCACGCTTTTTTGCGACACGCATTGATAGAGTCGACCGAGCAATGCATAGAAAATAATTTACTCGAGAAAGAAAGCACGCTAAATTCGTTTTTGTATTAATAGTATATTACCGAGATAATGTGATGAAATATTTTAGATATTAGAATTATTTCGAGATCTCGGACGGAAAAAAAATTAATAAATCATATTTGAATAATTTAGATGTAATTTATTAATTGAAATTGATCAATGAATTGATGCGATGAATCAATTTTTTTTCGGGAGCGACGCGTGGCTTCACATGTTACGATCAACAAGTTTCGAGATTTTGGGATAGAAATCTGTTTTTAACTCTAGTAGCTTTAATCCGAAGTCTCACGATATGCACGATTAAGAAATAGGAATGTATTGTTGATTGAGAATTGAGAGAATTTCAGATTAATGAATTTAAAAACTATTTCAGAGGAAACTATATGTTAAGGTTAGCGTGATGAAATTGTCGATATTATTGAGGTTAGAAACACAGTGAAGATTTTTCTCAAAATTTTTCATATGATCTCAGCATTTTTATACAAAGGTCAGAATTTTAAAATAATTTTATATATTTTTTAGAAAATTTCGCAGATTTTTGTACAGATTGGAACACTTTTTAAAAGTGCTGAGAGATATCTAAAATATTTTTTCAGAAATTTTAAGGTGAGAAATTAAAAAATTTTAGAATGTTTCAGAATTTATATGAAAAATTTTATGCAAGAAGAGGTAGATTTTCTCAGTATTTTTGAAAAGTGTTTTAACTCTTACAATAATTTTGAAAAAAATTTTTACCAGGAAAGTTCAATATTAAAAAAGAAAGAAAATTAGGAAGTTATATATACGAATTTTTTAATGTTTTCTATTTTTTTAGATTAAGTTTAATTTTCTGGAATTTATTTGTATGTTAAACTTTAAATATGCAAATTACGATTTTCAATTCTGTAAAGGTAATTCGAAGCATTTTTCTAACTTGTAATATCGACAATTTCATCATGCTAGCATTCTTAAGGAATAAGAGAATTTCAGATTGATGCTTTAAATTATTTAAAAGAGGTAAAATTATTTTAAAAGAAACAGTACATTAAAATTTCTATTATCCAGATGTTGTATAATCTTAAGGAGTGGTTCAAGGCACTATAAATTTTTACCAATTAGTAAGATTAAAAAAAAATTGTTTCTCTGTCAGAGATTTCGGAAAGATTTCTAGGATCTTTAATGGCTACGATCAGCAGAAAAAGTAGCAATTGTAAGATTCTTTAATATAATTGGATTTAGAGTTTCAGTATAAAACTAAGAACAAGATCGATTATATTAAAAAGTTTTAATAGCGAGATAGTCCTACTTTCGAGATAATTATTTTACTATCCTATCACATAAATATGTTAAAATATAAGTAATCGTATTAGTTTTTAAAAATAAATTGTGTTTAGTTTTACATCCATCTGTACATACATTTTCCTCCATCTCTTCCCCCACCCTCCCCCTTTCAATATAAAGTTATCCTACTTCAGATTTAAAAATATCTAGTTACATTAAGTATTGTAGATATGAGATTACGGTTAGATAATTGCAAATTCTTGTATAGCACGGTATTTATGCAACATGGATTTTTTAATATATTTATATACTTTTTTTATACTACTATTTTATTGCATTCAATTTTTTAATGCTTTTTGCTTTATTATAATAATGTTATAATAGATTATAAGATATTTTACAGGAAACTTGATATATTTATATACACATACATGCATACGACTGTTATTCCAGGGAAATCTACACGATTATTATGATTTGTCCAGATTATGAGAATTTAAATATAAAGAGTAGTAATACAAAATCGTTGAATATTAACAATTATCAATATAAAATAAATCATGTTCGAGAAATAACTGTTTCATAAAAAAATAATGATCATCTGTTAGTTTTACTGATTTATTACTATCTATCTAGCTCATGATGACCGAGTAGGAAGACAAGGAAGAGATAGAAGACCTCATGGTTCAATTAAGCACCGAGTATCATTTAAAACTCATACACCTAACAATATGTCTCGTAATTTAGCATTTGCTAATTTGGATGATGATATTCCTATGACTTCTAATAATAATACGAGACAAGTAGTACTCAATCCGAATAATAGAGAACGAGCTGATAGAGGTTGGCGTAATGCTTCTCGTGGAAGAAATAGTCCTATGCCAAATAGAAATTTCAAAGGAGGTCAATCAGGTTCTAGACGACCTCCTCCTTTGAGAGAATCCAGTTGGTATAGAGTTACCGTAAGTATATTTCTGTAATGATATTATATTATTATATTCAAGTACTCAAGTACTTATACAATGATGTAAAATCAATTTTTACTATTTATTTGTATTTATATTTTACAGATACCATATGGCCAAAAATATGAAAAGGATTTTATTATAAATACCCTTTTGAATTATATAACGCCCAATGTATTTGTACCGATACTGGTAAGTAAATATTTCTTAGAAAAAAATCTATATTTTTTATTTAATATATGTCTTAATATTTTCCTCTCCCCCAAGTTATGCTTTAATATAACATTTATAAATATCAATAAAATCATACACATAATAGACCTACAAATATAAATCATGTAATAATAAAAATCAAAT